TGCTATTTTGACTAGAGAAGAATCAGTTGGTTTCCCCTGCTACCCCACAAATTAGGTATTTTTATAAAAACAAAACAGACTTTATTCAGGAAAACATCTGAGAAATAACTAATATAATCACTCCCTTAGCAAAAAAACTTGCTCCTTGGAAAAATTACTGTATGTACAGCAAGTACCCGCTGCCAAGCTTCTTCCTAACCTGGCAGACGTGACTCTAGCAAAGATATGTCCACATTAGTTGATACTTTATACTTCTACCAAAATCCAATTGTAAAATAAGAATAGAAATATGTGCATATTTATATAGGGTTCCAAGTTCTCTGTCTCAGCACTTACTTACACCATATCTACATAGTGTATGCTCTGAACAAAGATTAACTACAAAAATTGGTTATCCAATTCAGCCTAAAATGTGCCTTTAATTTCCCACATCCCAAGCTTTCTCTCCTGCCCAGGTCATTTTGCTCATCACTCCTTTCCCTGGTCACTACTTCCCTGCAACTCCTAGTTGTTTGCTTTCTTGCTTTGTGTCCCACAACCCTTTCTACTCATATCCCACCACTGTCCTTGTTATCACTATAGACTGGCCACCTCTTCCCCCCATCCCCTCTATTTCCCCAATCTGATGAATTTTCCCCTCCTTTCAAACCATTTATCATTCTGCCCGCTTCTCCCAACCCCTGGATAATCCTTTTTTCCTCCCTTATTACGCTGCCCATCTGTCTCTAGTCACCCTACTCCTACAGCCAATAATCCTCTAAAGAATAAAATAAACAAAATAAAGCATTAACTTGCTACACCAAGGTTGGGCAGCCCTCAGAGGTCAGTTGTACACCTGTATACAAAAAGGTAAAGATGACAGCATATGTGTATGTGTGTGTGTGTATGTGTGTATATTGTTTAGAAATTTCATATTGCAATTTAAATGGAACTGAAAAACAATATTCATTTTAGATGCCAAGGAAAGACTCTTTTCATCATAATTTTTGCTTAACAGAGATGTAACATTTAAGTATTTGAACTGCGGATTATCTGGTTATTCACTCTGATTAATTTTGCATTTATTCTTCTAGTCTGATATGATGTAATCCATTTTTATTATTTAGATTTTAATTTCCTTGGGCAATAAATGGGAAACGTTATTTTAAATATATAAGTCTTTAGAGTAAAACAAACTGACTTGAGGCATGCAGTTCATCTAGTTCCAAATTAAAGTGATGTACAGGGCAGGCAGCAGAATTCATCACACGCTTGATCAGTGCTAAAAAAAAGTCTATACCAATTATATATTATATAATTTGATTTAACAGTAATACTGATGCAATATAGCACAAGGAGTTTAGGTTCAGTGAAAACTACTTGGAATATATTTATGTAAATCAACTGTACACAGTAATTTTCAGAATGAGACTGCATTTCTCCATGCTTACCTGGAAATAAGTTTAAACAAATTAGCATTTAGTACCAAGCTATTGGGCACTGGCTGGTTGAAGTGCACCAATAATCACGACTTTAAAACAAATGAAGCATAAAAACACAAAGCCATCCTGCTAATTTTTCATATTATTTATCATGGATTTTCACATACCCCCACCCCCAAAATCTAAAAAAGCATAGAAATTAAAATTTATAGAGAAACAGCTACATAGTTTTAATTCTCCAACATTTTTGGCAATATTGTGGAAAAAGAGCTAAAAGCTATTGCGTTCAGCAGAAGTGGCAGCAAATCCATCTGAAAGATAAAGCATGTCCTAATTTACTGGGATGAAAGTACTATGAAAACTCATCCTGCCAGATCTGCAGTTAAGACAATTAAAGAAACAAGATTAAAAACCTTTACAGTATTCTCCTGAAATCCCATTAATTTCATTGGCATTACTATAGTACTAAGAACTGAGATTTTATTACTTAGCAAATGGGGCTGCTAGCGCCGGTGAGAGGCACACAGCTCAGCTAGTGCTGGCACGAGACTCACGGCTCAGCAAGGACCAGCCACTCAACAGCCCGGTGGGCAAGAGACCATGGCCCGGTAGTGGGCCACGGCCCATAGGTTGGGGTCCTCTGTATTAGAATCCAGTAACTCCCAGAGAGCTCCATACTGGATGATCATTTCTAACGCACAGTTAAACCAGGAACAAACTATCCCAGTTAATGGATAATGACACAAAAGCATATGCTTGGAAATAAAGGACATGCAACACTAAAGTATACAAATTGAGCAGCCATTTAAGTTTGAAAAAAAGAGGTAAAACAGACACCAAAATGAGTAACTCCATCATTTAATGTTATTACAGTTACAACAGAATGTCTAGTACTCTTATCAATACCTTTTCTTGTGATAGCTTTCTCACTCATGAACTTGTTAATATAGATAAGTTGCTATAAAATTACTTTTGCCCACCTATCTACTTAAATAGGACAATAAAGGAACATTTTCTGTTAGTTTTCAAACCATGATTATTGAATCAAAGTTTGATTTCTACAGATAAGGCAGTTACAACCAAATGTTTATTTGTGCATGCAATTCATGCCATAACTCCTAAAAGAGATCTGCACTGAATGGAGCTGATTCCTCCTCCTAATTTTATCTTGTATCATATACATTTCAGTGGACAATAAATTCCTATTTGCACACTCTAACTTCACCGTCTTTCTTTCTGCTAGAAGAAAAATCTGAGAAATGAGAGAAAAAAGAAATACAACAAAGAAAGAAACTAACAAAAGGAGAACTGAATAGAGACAGTGCTGTTTATATTCTATAGCTCCACATAATCACACTGAATATGGTATATTAAACATGGATAAACTAAGGAACCTATGTATCTCAGAAAGATTCCAATAACTAGTTTGGAAATTAAATTAAGTTAAATTAAGTTAAATTAAATTAAATGAGCAAGAGTTCTTCAAACTCTTGGCAAATGACAGAACCAGCAGTATTATTTAATATATAAACTCAATCGAGAGAAGAGGTATATGCTAGTATTTTCAGATTGGCCACACTAGTGAGAAGTGCTTTCAATGCAACTGTACATGAAGGAGATGCAGTGAGTAGCATAGGAGGTAGGATATGCTCGCAGATGGCTAACATGATCAGAATGTAAAAAGTCAACAGTCTTAATAAGGACCTGATGCTGTCGCCGAGCTTGTACCATGTCCTCGATGTCCCTTGCTAAAATGACAGAATCAGCTTTGGAATAGAAATAGAGCTCAGGCCATTTAGAAGGTTGGTTCAACATTGCTTCATAATGGCTCTCATGTATAAAGCGGGTCACAGGATACAACACAATCCGCAATGTCACCACCAACACTGCAAATGACAGTAGGAGAAAGTACTTTATGCATACATTGTACGATGCTAAGACAACTGAGAGGGCACGAACCGCACCCTTCAAGTTCCTCCTGCCAGGTGCACTATCAAAAACAGTCCCCACTACCCTCAGATGCTGGAACTGCTGTTGAGTGTGAAGAAGTTCCACAATGTAACGATAGAGCATGAACCCGCCGTTGCTGAAGACATGGAAGAGTAGAGGCTTCGTCTCCACTTTGTAATCAAAAAGGCGCTCCAACAGCTTTGTAGCCAAAGTCTGCATGGATTTTATACCGAAGGATTCTGAAAAGAACACAAGTCTCCATGGAGCTGTATATCGGATCACTACACACCCCTGTGAGGAATACACATGTTTTAGAATGGGTTTATAAGTGCTCATAGCTTATAATCGCTGTGCAGTTAACATGGTATACAACCATTCACAGATAGCACAGTACAGCAATTGAAATGTCAGACCAGCAGTGGAAAATTCAGGTTATACTTCACCCTCAAATACAAAAGTTAACTGGGTTGTCTTGAACTAGCCAAACTTTCTCATCCCCTTTTCCCTCTGGGTTATTGTGTGAAGAAGAAAAAGATGAAGACTGTATGTGCCGCTTTGAGCTACTGAATAAAATGCAGGACATACACCTACCTACAAAGATGGTAAAAAGATGGACTTATGACAGGTCCCCTTAGTTATGCCCATTGCAGTGCCTCTGCAGCCACATGATCAAAATTTGGGCACTTACAATCACAGAAGTCCTTCAACTCTCCCCAGGTTAAATTCCATCTTCGATTTTTTTTTACATAGAATTTTCATGAAGAAACTGATTTCTAGTTTGATACTTTAAAAATTCTGAATAGGTGTTTTGTGGGGAAAGGTGAAGATACTACTCCTGGTATTGTTTTTTTCTGGCTGATTTCTGAATGGGCCAAGGATGGTTCTTTCATTTACAGACAGACAGACAGACAGGTGTAAATCGGCCGTTGAGGAAGCTGAATTTAGGTATGAAAAACAATATTCACCTTCTGTAAATAGATGGCGCTGTATTTCTCTAGATTCCTGTCCTTGCAGCCAGCCCATCCGAGCATTATCACCACCGGAGGATTGATTTTATCTCCTTTTTCCGACAAAGTCTCTGAAAATAAAAATAAAAATAAGAGTCTGCATCTTAGTGGTAATCATAGCGCTACGACTCTAAAAGGATACAGGATGCATTTCAGCATCGGTGGCCAGAAAAACCTCGTCGTGGTACAGTATAGTCCTTTTTTTTTTCCTGATAGGTTCACACAAGGTTAAGCACCTGAGCGCTGGAAACCGATTCCAGACGTCGGCCAAAGAAACCGACCTCGGCTCTGATTACGACACGCGTTGGACGTGCCGTCTCCACTCCAGCGGGCGCCTCGCCCAATTCTGTGCCAGGCCGTTTTGTCCCCAATTCACCCACTCACCAGCGCTTCGTTCCAGAGGAAACTCCACCACGCAGCCCAACTCCCTCGCTCGCCTCCCCATTGCTGCACCGGCGTTCGCAACTGCCGCTTCCGTCTTATTCTTCCTCTTTCCCCCCCCCACCTCCGCCCCCGCCGGAAATGCCCGACTTTTTGTCCACCTAAACAGGAAGGATGGCCGAGCGCGCGCGACAATTCTATCGCGGTCTCCTTAGCAACTTAGCGGCCCTAGCAACCGAGGCCCCGTTCGGCCCTGCAGGAAGAGAAGCCGTGGTCGGCCGCTCGGCCGTCCGCCGGCCGAAGGGCATCCTGACCGAAAGGTGCCGAGCGGAGGCTCAAAGCAGTTTATATACGCCGGGGACGTGATGCGGGTATGTGGCGCTTATATGGGGAAAAGCGAAGCGAGATGGCGTCTGTGGAGGTTCTCGGTCACCCAGGTCGTGGTTGTCCCAAAGGTGCTTTTTCAGGAGGCAATTGGACTTTCTTGTATTTCTTTGAAGACGTTTCGCTTCTCACCCGAAAAGCTTCTTCAGTTCTGACTGGATGTTGGGGAATGGAAGGATTTATATCCCTTGCGGACAGCTGGGCATTTGCATGGCGCGGGAGGATGAACGGATTTCCAGAAAACGTTGCAGACTACTACAGGAACCATTTGCAGTTCGGTTTGAGATGCAGACAACACAGAAGCATCCCCGACAGCCCGCGCCGGTCTTCAACAGCCAGCGAAGGGACACAGGGCAGAAAATACCCTGCAGCCAAGAAGGCTCCACACACATCTGCACTACTCAGGTGATCCTGAGGACACAGGTAAACCTCCAAATGGCTTCAAAGACTCTCTAAAAGAATGCAAATGCCTAGCTGTCTGCAAGGAGTATAAATCCCTCCATTCCCCGCCATCCGGTCAGAGTTGAAGAAGCTTCTTGGATGAGAAGCGAAAGGTCTTCAAAGAAAAACAAGACAGTCCAGTTGCCTCCTGAAAAAGCACCTTTGGGACTAATGTAGTAAATTGAACAATTATTAGAATAATGATTTGTCTGCATAACTGCAATAATGATGTGTCTGCTATTAACGATCTTGTTACTACATTACGTATTAGTGACCCTTTTAAGTGACCCTTTCAAGAGACAGTCATTATACACCGTTGGTTTACGCGAGACGTGTACCTATGAAACATACATCGTTTTGGAAGGTTTGTATGCCTGTGAGAAACGCTCCTAATGTATCACAGTGTGTATTTCAATGTGTAGCCCTTTGTTCTTTAAGGAGGGGAGTATAAAAACTGAAGTCGAATCCCGCCCTCCTCGTTCAGAATTGCCTATCTCTAATATGCTCTGAACCTTGCGCAAATAAACTTCTCTGCTAAACCCCTCTGGAATTCGTAAGAGTTCTTTCGTTTTCCACAAGAGGACAAGCAAGATGATAATTGAAAATAGGGATTCTCCTAAGCAGAGAACGGAAAAAGAGGGAGGGCTGTCAATAGCCTGAAGTCTGAGCGAGCTTTGGGGGCTCTTTAGGCAGCTCTTAAGCAATGAAAATTTTAAACTTCAGTTACATTTTGCACTTCACAGCTGATCTCTGAGAAAGAAATGAAGAAGAGCAAAATAGAATAAACATTGAGAGTGTTTGTCTCTTGAAAACCAGGTTTTGTTTTTACACTTCTACTGTGTGCACGCGTGTGTACACACGGGGTGTGTGTGTGGGTGAACACACACAAACACACACACACCAGGAGTACTGTGACTCTAACAACTACATGGTGGAATAATTCTCATCACAGACCTGAAGGCAAGAAGGGGCTTACTGTTGGAGGGCTGGGGTCAGTTTTTAGCTCAAGGTTTAGCAAAAACCTGCCTATGAATATTGTTGTTGTTTTTTCTTACATACAAGAAAACCTGCTAAATGATAAATAGCACCAAGACAGCTTTAGCTCAAGATGCTAAAAGGGCTGCTCTTGATTTGACATGCAGAAAGAATTTTCTCGAAATTTCAGAGATCCAGAACACTCAGAAGTCAATAAATAAATAAAGTCGGGCAGAAGGCAGCAGTAAAGTACTTATATATTGTTTCCAGGAAAATACTTGAATCTATCTATGAAGTCACAAGTTGTTCACTGCTGTTGTTGTTTTCTGGTAACAAGTGAAGCTTCTAACTTTTGCTCTCAATGAACATTCTAATATACAAATTAGTAAAATTAAATCTAAATTGCTCTTTTTTTGTTGGCAGTACTCAGCTATTTCTGAAGATGTATTGTGTTGTAATCCTTGCCTTCTGGGCTCAATTATCTAAAATGTTTTTGCATTGTCAAGCCTCAAATCAACTTGAACAAATAAGACCAGAAGCGGCCAATTAAGTTTCAAAGAGTAAATTGCATTAAAGGAAATGTGTGGTTGCCAACAGTATTTAAGGCTGTTGCATATTCTGAATTTAAAAAGCTGAAACCCAGAAATATTTGTTTCATATTATACATTATACATAACTAAAACAAATGCGTATGTTTGGAATAGCTATTTTTTCCTACAGAACATTAAAATGAGATGAATTTTATCCAGAATAACAGAATTAGAAGGGACCTTGAAGGTCTTCTAGTCCAACCCCCAGCTTAGCAGGAAACCCTATACCATTTCAGACAAGCAGCTGTCTAGTCTCTTCTTAAAAGCGTCCAATGATGGAGCACTCACAGTTTCTGAATGCAAGCTGTACCACTGGTTAATTGTTCTCACTGTTAGGAAATTTCTACTTAGTTCTAGGTTGCTTCTTTCCTTGATTAGTTTCTACCCATTGCTTCTTGTCTTGCCTTCTGGTGCTTTAGATTAGAAAATAGGTTGACCCCCTCTTCTTTGTGGCAGCCCCTCAGATATTGGAACACTGCTATTATGTCACCCCTAGACCTTATTTTCACTAGACTAGCCATACCAAATTCCTGCAACTGTTGTTCTTATGTTTTAGCCTCCAGGCCACTAATCATCTTTGTTGCTTATCTCTGCACTATTTCCAAAATGTCAACATCTTTTTACAATATGGTGACCAAAACTGGATACAGTATTTCAGGTGTGGTCTTACTAGGGCTTTATAAAGTGATACTAATATTCACATGATCTTGATTTTACCCTTCTATTAATGCAACCTAGGTTAATTCTCTCCATGTAGATGCAGTTCTATTAAGAATTACACGTTGAGTGCAGTTGGTCAGCCAGTTACAAATCCATCTGGTGGTGGTTCTGTCTGTCTCACATTTTTCTAGCTTACCAAGAAGTAGGTTGTGATCTACTTTATCAAATGCTTTTCTGAAATCCAAGTATTCTATATCCACAGCATTTCGCTGATCCACTAATTTAGTCACTTTGTCAAAGAATGCAATAAGATTTGTCTGGCATGATCTGTTTTTGACAAACCCATGTTGGTTTTTGGTTATAACTTTGCTTGCTTTTAGGTATTCGCAGATCTGTTGCTTGATTATCTTTTCCAGGATCTTCCCACATGTCAGGCTGATAAGTCTGTCATTTCCTGGATCTGTTTTTTTCTCTCCTTTTTTGAAGATGGGAACCACATCAGCTCTTTTCCAGTCTCTGGTAGTTCCCTGATGCTCCAGGATCTTTGAAAGAAATGGTTCAATGGTTCTGAAATCACATCTGCCAGCTCCTTCAGAGCTCTGGGATATAATCTTTCAGGTCCCAGTGATTTTAACTTGTCTATAGCGGACAGGTGTTCTCTTACCATTTTCTTGCTAATTTTAACTTGCATTCCTAGTCTGTCTTTTATGGTTAGGTTTTTGGTATGTTGGGCTATATTTTCTTTTTGTGTGAAGACCAATGCAAAAATGATTTAAGCAGCTGTACTTTCATTCTACTGCATATTACTTCCTTGCCATCTTCCATTAGTGATCTGATTGTTTCCTTGACTTTTTTTTTATATGTTGAAACAAACTTTTATTATTATTATTTTTGACATTTGTTGCAAATCTTACTTCATTTTGAGCCGTAGCTTTCCTCACTTCATCTTTGCAAGTTCAGGCTATTTGTTGGTATTCTGCCTTAGTTATGTGTTCCTCTTTCCATTTTTTTGTACTTATCCTTTTTGTCTTTCAGTTTATCAGAGAGATGTTGTGCAACCAACCACTTCTTGGATTTCTTGTTTTTCTTTTTCTTTTTGTTAGATTCCATTAAACCATTTAAACGCCTAGCAAAAGTGTTTATTTGGACAAAACAGGAAGCCAAACATGAATAAATATACTATGGATAGATCAATTAATACAATGTGCTACACAGTTCTGGATTTTGAATACTATCGTACACAGATGAATCATTTGGCATGATTGCCAAAAATTAATAATCAAGAGAAGATGACAAATAAAAGGATACTGATCACCAACTGAAGGTGATGTTTTTGGAGCTTTTTGCCTTCAAGAGTTATATAATACCTCCAATTTTCAAGTCTAATTATGGGATTAATGGAAAGAGGATGTCTTCCTTGATTCTTTTAGCCAATTTAATACTTAAGACAAAATATATACTAGGTTTCAGCTGAATACAAAAAGCAATGTGTATGTTAATTGCCAAATGGAATAAATAGGCAGCCTCCAGGAATCAATATATTATAGGCATTATTCAAATAACTACAAATAATAATATTTGGAGAATTATACAGAAAAGTTTGAAAAAGGGAACTAATAAATTCAGGTTATAGTCCGGAAATATGTAGAAGGGTAGTTCCGAAATGCTATTTATCTAAAAATAAACAGTAAATGTGGTATGAAAAGAGAATTGTATAAGAAAATAGCCTAAAGCACTGCTATCTTACTCTTTATATAATCTCCATATCTCGTTTCTTGCTAGCTAAATTAGAAAATGTAGTTAATGGAAGGATTTAAGAAATAGGGTAACATTTTATTAAATTTGCTAAAGCTATTTCTGGGAAGACAGCCTAATTAAAATTAATAGAATTGTTGGTTTCTATTTCCTAAGGTTCTCAAATTATGACTGTTAAGCATTAAGATGAATAATATATTTTTCAGCTAGTTGGATGTCATTAAAAGAACCAAATCTAGCAACAAGAATATGCACCCTAGCACTTAGAAAGTCTAGCTGACTGATATAGTCTCACATATGTAATAATTAACTAATTTAAACTGTTGGCTTGAAGTGGGCTTGAAGCTAAAAGTGTCATACTGAATTTATGATTATTTGCTCATTTTGTTCAGAATATACTATTTCTCACCATTTGGTTACCTATTCACAATATCAGTACAGCATCAGGAGGAATCTGTCTTGTGCAAAGGGACTTTATTTACTCGTTATTTCTTTTCTATCATTATCAAATGATTCAATTGCCCCTCCAAACCGCTCCTTCACTAACTGTCTGAAGGCAGACATAAGGGACTGTGAAAGTTGCAAGATAGAAAGGAATTAAATTCCCCTTTCCAATTCCTTCAATGGAAGAAGTGGAAGTTAAACTCTAACCACATATTATTATATATTGTGTGGTATTAATTGTATCAATAATAATAGAGTCTTAATTGGCACTTTTTTCAGAGATACGTCAAGTCATACTGATATATTTATTTCAGTTTGGAATGGATTTCTTTATGATAGATTCTATGCATAGTCTTTTTTTTTAATCAGCTGATTGTTTGTCCATAAATGTTGATTTGCAACCTCAGGTTTCACCAACAGAATCTTATGAACTCAACAAGATAAGTTGCTATATATTCAACTTTGCTTTAAAATCATTTATTTGATACATTCATTATACTTCTTAAATTATTTGAATGTGATTGAAGAAAGAGAGTTGGCATGTGTCCTATTAATATGTGTTATCGACTGATTTGCGTTATCTGATCTTCAGCTTCTAGTGCAGTGGTTCTCAACCTGTGGGTCGGGACCCCATTTGGGGTCGATCGACCATTTCATGGGGGTCGCCAAGCAAGGCTGTCCGCCATTTTTTTGTCTGCCATTTTTTTTGTCCGCCATTTTTCCCCCTTTTCCGGGGGGTGCCTTACCTCCCTTGGGCTGGGGCAGCTGGTGGTTGGCCTGCTCCGTCTCTGCCACTTGCCAGCTACGCCTCGGCTGGCGCAGGGGGCGGAACCACGCATGCGTGGCGCTCCCGGGCAGGGAAAGTCCTCGACTTACGACCGGTTGGGTAGTCCTTGACTTACGACCGGTTTAGTCCTCGACTTATGACCGGTTTAGTCCTCGACTTATGACCGGTTGGGGTCACGGCATTAAAAAGGTTGAGAACCACTGTTCTAGTGTGTAAAAGAAAAACATACCCATATGTACAGTAGGTTTCATGAACTGAGAAAAAGACATGCTATTCAAAAATTATACATACAGATTGCATTCCTGCCTTGATCTCTCAGTTACTTCTAAAATCTGTACATAAATAGTGGTCCACAGTTCCCATTCTGTCTAAAGTGGGAATACAGGCAATCCTGGACTTACAACCGTAAATGGAACCAGAATTTCCATTGCTAATCAAGGTGGCTATTAAGTGAATCGCACCTGATTTTACAAACTTTTTTTTGTGAATCCTGCTTCTCTCACTGACTTTACCTGTTGAAAGCCAACTGGTAACGTCGCCAGTGGCAATCATGTGATCCCGGGACACTGCAACCATCTTAAATCCATGCCAGTTGCCAATCACCTGAATTATGTTTATGTGACTGTGGGGATGCCATGACTGTTTTAAGTGCAAGGACCTGTCATAAATCACTTTTTTCAGTGTTGTCACTTTGAACAGTCACTAAATGAATAGTTGAAAGTCAAGGACTCCCTGTATCCTTTCTTTCTTCATAGCTCTGTTGTTGTACTCTGTATATTTTCTATAATGGAGTTCAAAAATAAATGTCTTGATACTGGATGATATTACTCATTTTCTTAAAGGGTCATTGCACACAGTTGCTTTTGGCTGGAATGGTTTATATATTAAATATGTTGAATAACTTTATTCTCTTTTTTAAACAGTGACAGAACTCTGGTTACAAGAAAAAAGGGAAATCCCATTGTATGAACGTGGGCTTGTTTTAGGTATTAAAGTTCTTAGTAACGTTGAAGATATGCAGTAGATATACCACACTGAGCTATAAATTAAATATGGATGGCTCAATAAAAGTAGTATCTTTTTCCGAATGCAAATATTAGTTATAAGTAACAGCTCAGAAATTTTCTGTAAATGGAATGATTGAGATATGCACTTTATATTTTGCTCTCTTGTCAGCACTAATATTAGTTATGGCTAATAAATTTTCGGCCATAACTCTTTGAGAAAACTGATTTATTCTGAACTTTTTTCCCACGCAGATACTCTGCCATAGACAAAAGCTCCTACAGATCAGTTTGCTAATTTTGTAATGGATGTATGTGCTTTTGCCAGGACTGATTTGGTTTTGAAGATGTGATAAATTATTTATATAGGTTTAATGTTGCCCCAATTGTAGTCTTTTTCTAACTGTTAACACCAACATTCTTATGTAAGAATCAAATGTGAGTTTTTGTACCATGTGTAGAACATAAATACATGGTTCAGTGTTCTTATTAAATATGCATTTATTATCAAACTGGAAGATGTGAAAATATTTTTTGGTTTGAATGGGATTGAAAAAATGCTGCAAATTTATGAAAATATTAAGATATAATGATGAAAGCATGAAGAAACCAGAGTTGTGAATAACCTTTAACAAAGGAGATTAGTAGAGAAATAATGATATTACTGTCAAAATAGTTGTGTGGAGAGTTTGTTTCAGATCTATTTTAATTAACCATTCTGAACCACTTCACCAAATCTGCCAACTTCTTGAATCAGGCTATTACTGGTAAATCTAAACTATGCAATTGAAAGTTGGCTTGGATTCTGGTCTTGAAATAATTCTGTTAAATATCAGAAAAAACAATATGGTAGTTTTCGTTCTGATTTAAAATCCTGAACCAGAGGATTCATCCAAATAATTTGTTCGATTTTTAAGACCATTTAGGAAAATATCAAAATTGAGATAATATATTGGCTACAATTAAGATATAATTAGTATTCTTTAGTGGGCAGATTGGGAAAGCTAATCTGAGAAAGTTAGCTAATTTGGATCTTAATCTGATCTTTGTTTTACTTATCAAAAAGAAAATTAGTTTTTCTACAAGCTTGCCAATATTTAAACTCACTCACATAAGAATAATTTTCTTATTGGCAGATGTTGTTATCAGAGATGAAGGAAAATGACTTTAACGGGTTACACAGTAAAGTTATAATCTTGTTTCATGAAGCTTTTCAGTTGAACTCATATGGGTAAATTGACCATACAATCTTTTATTACATCATACATAATATTGTGCTCGTTTTTTATTCCATCCATTTGTTGAATGAGCTATAGTACCCCAGTTTACACTAAACCATAAAGGGTAAGTATACAAATCAAATTTGATTACAGATTCATTACCTACATTACCTGCAATGGCATCACTTTATAAAATAACCTTTCATGATTTATTATTTGTTTAAATTGGATCTTTCTGTACTCATTTTATAAAAGTGTCTATTTAGGGTTCAATATAATTAAAGTTACAGTTCTCTGATTGATACATATTAGTTTTATTATATTTTTTGTATTGATGTGTGTATAAGCACATGCTTCGGTGGCATGATTTTTGAAACACCTAAGAAAATGGCTGAGACTTATCTTAACTAAAAAGCCCTGGGAAAATAGATTCAAACGAATGCTTTTGCTGCAGTAGAATGGGTTTGCATATTTGGAATAACGTTATCAAATATAAAAATGTGTGTGCAAGTTCTTCCAAAAATAAGAAAGGGTGTAGTTATTTTGCAAAGCTGTATATAATGAAACTTAGAAAGGACCTTTCGTCTGTGTCAATCATCAAACTAGATAGAATGTCTGAAGATTTTCTGAGGTTGCAAATATTAATCTAATAAAGTCTTAATCTCTCTTTTTCATTTTCTCACTAGAAAAACCATACCAGACATGACTTCTATAAAAGAGCAAGCAGCAATCAGTAGATTAATAACTTTCCTACAAGAATGGGATAGTGCTGGCAAAGTTACTCGAAAACATATTCTTGAAAATTTCATACTTGCTAACCAAGGCAAGACTGGTCCAGAACTTGAGATAGAATTCTCTCAGGGAGCCAGTTTATTTCTGGCTCGTATAACTGCCTGGCTCCGGCTGACGTATCCCTTTTGAGAATTGATGGTTAGGTAGAGCAAAGAAATACTAGGAAACATTGTTGAAATTACCAGGATGGGCTACATATTTAACTACCCCAAAAAGCGCAGTTTTTAAATTTGTAGTCTTGGATACAGAAACCAATTCTGAAAGGGTATTCACTATTTTTATTCTTTCATGGCAAAATAAACAGCCTGTTTGATAGTTTCTTAAAGCTAGCCCATTTATTGTAACATAAATATAAGCCCAGACGCAGAATTTTTGTAAATGGCTTTAAAATGGGCAAAAAGGATAGGGAAAAAATAAATTCAGCTAAGGTTTATTCAGCAGAATATATTAAAATAAAAGCCTTAACTAAGTCATGATAGCTATATGTACGGAACATGCTTGGAACAACAGTTAAAATCAGTTGGCATCTTTCTTTCAGCTGCAAGTGGGTGAGTAAATGATTTTCAGGAGTCGGAGGAACTTTACAATTGTTAGCCTTCTATGTTGTTGAAAGAAGGAATGTTGTTTATATTCTCCTTGTATTATCAAAGGATGTACAGGTAGTTCTTGACTTATGGCCACAATTGAGCCCCAAAATTTCTGTTGCTAAACAAGACAGTTGTAAACTGAGTTTTATGACCTTTCTTGCCACAATTGTTAGTGAATCAGTGCAGTTGTTAAGTTAGTAACATAGTCAAGTGAATCAGGCTTCCTCATTGATTTTGCTTATCAGAAGAATGCAAAAGGTGGTCATATGACTCTGGGACACTGCAACCATCATAAGTACATGCCAGTTGCCAAGCATCCAAATTTTGATCACATGACCATGGAGCTGCTGCAACAGTCATCAGTGTCATAAGTCACTTTTTTCACTGCTGTTGTAACTTCAAATGGTCACCAAATGAATGGTTATAAGTCAACGACCATCTATATAGGACGTTCTGTTGGTTATGCTTCTGTATTTTCTTGTTTGATGAATCTCTGTTTTCTGCACATTCACTTATTTACAAGTTCTTGAAAATAAAATATGGTTACTGTTTTAAACATTCTTTGGTAGCATCAAGGATACACTGCTTGAATAGTAGCTTATCCCAAATTGGAGAAATGTTATATAATCCTTTATAATACATTTGCAGATTTTATCACATGTGAAATCATGCAACATAGCTGCATAACCAAGGATAGAAGCAATTCCAGAAATAACCCTTGAAAGCATTTTGGTGAAATCTGAACCACTATCCCCTTCAGTTTGTCTGGATGGGATGCAGATTGCTACATGTTAAACGGAAATTGCAAGTTCTAATTTTCTGTGATAAAAGTATTGCTAATTTGTATGTCATCACAAAAACATTGAGGGTGTTGACAGTTTACTGAGAAGGCATCAACAAACATCTCTTTAGGAGTGAGTGAAGTAATGTTAAATAGTATTCTACTTCACACACAAACACACACACACAAACAGAATTGCCATAAAGCTTTTTGTTTTGTTCTTCAAATTTTTGCAGCCAGCGGTACCTTCTTGAATTTCTGGAAATTGGTGGTATCCTCACCCTATTGGAAATACTTGGGCTGAAACAACTGAAAGAAGAAGACAAAATGGAGTCTGTAAAACTTCTTCAGTTAGTGGCAAAATCTGGCAGGAAATTCAAAGAGCTTATCTGTGAAAGCTATGGTAGGCTTATTTCAACATCTGTTTAAGATAAGCAGTTTGGAGGTATCAGGATAATTATTTTCTTACATAATTAAAATCTTTCCTGTCTCTGAACTTCATTGAAAGAAAAGAATTGCTTCCCTTCTGTAATTCAGCAGAATGATGAATCATTTCAGTGATCCAATTTACATTAATTTTAAAAGACTGGAAATCTTTGGTCTTCATAAGATTATTTCCCTTCAACGGGGTATTATGGCCTTTTTTTCTTTATTGCAGTATGTTAGAGCAGGGGTCCCCAACCCCCGGTCCGTGGACCAGTACCGGTCCATGGCATGCCAGCAACCGGGCCGCACAAACAAGCAAAGCCCGATCTGTGCGATGCAGGCAGCACACAAAACCACAGCCCCTCTGGTCTGCAGAATAACCTCTCTCCATGGAATGGGTCCCCGTTGACCAAAAAGTTGGGGACCTCTGTGTTAGAGCCATGCATAGAGTAAATTGAAGCATAATTCCTCTTTGAAATGGCTGCAAATTGTTAACTTTCTGAAATTCCCTTACAGCATTCCAACTATTAGAAAGTGAAAAGTTAATTCCATTGTCATATATCTCTAGATGTCTATACAGTATCTATGTATCTATATCTACAGGATGTTTATATATCTTCCCTTTATCTCTATATATCATCCAGTTGATTCTTTTCTCTAAAATATGGATATATAGCATGTGGAGACCAGATGCTGAATCATAAATTCCCACAGTCCCAGCCAGTACAACCAATAATGAGGATGCTGGAAGATGTAATTTAGCAACATTTGGCATCTAACCATAAGGACTCCAGTTCTAAGGAACATTTAGTTTTTTATAAAACAAACACACAAGAGTTTGTGCAACTGAGATGTAATCCCAACCAAGTTAGTTGGATTAACTTTGCATAAGGATTGTAGGCTTCAACTAGCACAGTTTCAGAAACTGGCCTACTTAAAAAGCCAGATGTTGCAATGAACAGTTCCTTGCTTCCAAAACAGCATATATACAAGGGCAATTCGAAAATAAACCGTTTGGTTATCAATGACAGACACTCGCAGATACAGAACGTTTATTATACACATTAGAAAACTGCAATGTTACATTACTTTTCAACATAATCACCATTCAAATTGAGGCACTTGTCATAACGTCTTACAAGGTTTGAAATTCCTTAGTAGTAGTTGCTCGGCTCCAAATCTGGGCTATGGGGAAGGTGATCAGAAACATCCCAACGGAACTGCTTCAAAAGTTCTTGGGTGCATCTAGCGGTGTGTGGGCGAGCATTATGGTGAACCAACACTACACCGGAAGTCAACATGCCCTGATGCTTGTTATGGATGGCTGTAATGTTTCACAGTAGATTCCTGAATTGATGGTTGAACCACGCTCCATGAACTTCACTAGCAGTACTCCTTTGGCATCTTCACATTTGGCAAGATTTTCTATGGCGCCACTTCCGGTCGGTTCATGTTTTTAATTTGTTAATTGATATTGCTGATGAGTTCAAAGAAACTCATTATTGGCAGATTTTTCTTAACCTACTTGTTCAGAAAGCTTTTTCCTACACAGGTGTGCGATCAATTGCTGAATTTTTGGCCACTTCCAAGTCAGAAGCGACACAAGAGCAAGTGCAGATTCTTCTGGATACTTTAGGACACGGCAACCCGAAATACCAAAATCAGGTGTACAAAGGGCTGATTGCTCTTTTAAAGTGCACTTCTCCCAAAGCTCAACAGCTGTCCCTACAAACACTCAGGATAATACAGGTCAGCAAAATAAATGAGAAGTGGGATAAAGCATGAAGTTTTGCAACCTCAGTTTTATGGATTGAATAGAATTTTATTTCCTTTAAATAAATTAATTGATAGATTTGCAAATGCAGCGACCAACAGTAATAATGTGTAACTCTCAAGACATAACACTCATAACAGAGAGTAAAATAGAAAGATTTTTATAGCTATACCGTGAGGTATACTGCACATCTTTGGACCATGACATTTCTACTATCTTAGGCATCATTTTAGAGTCAGTTTTAATTTTTGCATTGTCACAGTGTTACAGGATTCTTTTTTTGGGGGGGGGGGACTGGAGGTGTATTTTGCAATGTGAGGGTGGCAACTGACACAGAAAAAAGACTGGAGACTTTTATGCTTTTTTACTATTTACATTGAGGCTGTTTAAAGCAGCTATTTATAAAAGGTATATACAATGTAATTGGATCTCAGGCTTGCTCCTAAATCTTGCACCCAAAAATTATCCCCTGCAAGATCTTCTGCTTTGTCCCTGTTTTACTCATCTCTCTCCCTCATTTCTGGGTTTATCAAGAGGAAATGAGAAAAAAAGGAACATACTGAATTTACTGTAATACGCTCAGCACAGTTCACTTTTCTCCTGGCTCTGCTCAGCTGAACACCTACTGCTTGTCTATTAGGGGAACAACCTCTAATCAGAGTCTTCTCCCAGTTATTCCACAGAGACCAGGGCTTCACCCGCGATGATAATCCCCTCCATTCTGTCTTGAGTCTTGGCTGTTGATATCTTCTCTCTATTCCTTTCTTCCAGGGAAGTCAGCCATAGATCTTTCTTCTCCCTTCTCAACCAGGAACTGGCAACTGCTTTGCAAACTCACTTAACTTCACTTTCCAGCCTTTCTCTCCAGCCACTCTATTTTACACAGACTTTTTCTCTCCTCTCCTTTTTTCCTTCTCTCTCCAATTTTGTTTAGTCAGACCAGCAGCATGGCCCCCAGCAATTGAGGAGATAGGTGTTCCCCCGGGGCTCTAGTCCCCAGCACCTATGCGCAGGCTGGACCAATAGGATGCTTTTTCCACATCTGCATTTTCTAGCCACAAATGTATTATGCATAAATTTTCAGTAAAACAGAATTTGTTTCCCCTGCTGCCTAAAAAAATCACCAAATTGGTAATTATGGAAGGGGAATCGTGGATGGGGGCTAATCTAAGAAAATATACTGTAACACAAAAATGCAAGCTGTCAACTTACCTATCAACTTAGGGAAATAATGTATATTTCCAATAAAGTGGGTCTGAAAGGCTGCTATAATAAATGTCCATCTTAAAGACTTATTGTACAACTATTTATTTATGCTGTACCACCTGAATATATCTCCCTCTCTGAAACCCAAATTGAATGGAACTGGTTTTCATATCTGAAACAAATCTTGTCTAATAATAACTGGGGCCACTGACTTGTCATAGCAATACATGCTTGATTTGTAGAACAGGCATTGTCTAATGTGATTTGCTAGTGAGAAATAATTATATTATTTGAAACAGAGATGACAATAAAATCCTTTTGCTAAATGCTATTTCAATATCTTATTCAGCAAAAAGATGATAATTAACAGAACTAATGCCAGGAAGTTGTTAGCTCCTCAACCAAGATTTGCCTTTCACATTAGTAAAACTAATTTTAAGAAATCATGGGTTCAAATGACTACTCAAATAATAACCACTGGACAATCTTCAGCCAGCTACTATTTTTCATCTGAAGAATGGCATAACTTTAATAAAGATAAAATGTAACTGCCTTCTGGCAACTTGCGGCATTATGAGGATACTCCATATCTGGGAAAATTTGACTTTATTGTTCTATTTGACATGTGAACTATTTTAAAACCAGGCCATTGTGCATAATTCCTGAAATTTATGCTCTGCTTTAATACCTTCTTTAAGACTTCTTTGCCAGAGATATTTATTTCTCAGCATATTTCTTTAATGTGCCTAATTTTTAAAGTACTTTATATGCATGTTTTAATGTTTTATATATATACCTGCAAAAGTAACTTCAGTGACTGGCACCCATTTGCCATTATACATTTACATATGATTTGAATATTTATTATGTATTTATTAATCAAATTTATTTAACTCCTCCATTTCATGAAAAATGGCACATAGTGATGTACAATAAGCAGTAAAAATAATACATATATAAAAACAGACCTTTAAAATAGAAAAATCAGCATTAAAATATAGATGATTAAAACTAAATATATATATATGATAACATTACTGTTTTGTCTTTCCCTTGCGTTTTACCTTATATAATCTGGTGGTTATATTACATGTTTTTTAATTGTATTGTTTTAACCTTTTGTGTTGTTTGCATGGTTGTTTTATTTTTTGCTTTTTGGTATTGTTATGTTATGTTTTGGCATTCTTTATGCTATCCAGAGTCACAATAGATAAATAAATAAAATTAATAAATAGAATTAAAACTAAAAGCAAGTTCAGAATTGTTCAAGGGCAAATAGGTATTCTGCTGCAAAAAGGAATTCAGCTGTGTTGGTCAATGTAGTGTCTACTGGAACATGCTAAATCTAAATATTTACATATTTCTGACATGTATTCTCCAATTTAACTGGGCACATGCAGTCCCTCTGAAGTATGTGGGCGGTTCAAAAATGCGAAAAAACAATTAAATAAATAAAATTAAAATTTTGAATGGAAGCATTCTAAGATGAACATATTATTTTACATAATCCAGTTCAGGAAATAATACTCCCCTATTTCTTTTTTAATTTGCCAGTCAATTGTGGGAAAAGCGCATCTGAGCATTGTTGATTCTGTGCTGAGCGTGCTTCGCTCTCTGAATTTTGAGGTACAATATGAAGGTAAAACTGTTTTTTTCCCCTCTCTTCAACGGTTATATTAAGGAAAATACATTTACTGGAAACTGAAAATTAGAGTTTAAATGAAGGAGTGAGTAAAACTAACATTTCTAAAGCAGGGGTGGTGGGAGGGGAACTATCTTGAAAACTAAGATTGTATGTTAAACAAATGTTACACCCAACATGAAATCTTATATAAATTACCATAACATTTTCCTTACCTGAGTCATTTCAGATATTTTGCCTATACTGCCCATCATAACAATTAATCTTGTTGCCAAGGGAGTCAAACCATGTGTGCACAAATTATGTTAGTTTAGTTTTACTGAATGGGAGGCAACAAAGCCAAGAGATCTCTGAGACTAATAGGAAATAAGCAAAATGACTGTCTTCATACGAAAGTAAATGTTTTTATGTTACTAATCATTGTTTTAAAATAAACTTCTTAAAGTTTTGATAACATTCTACAAGTTCATTATCAAAATTATCTAGCCATTTTACAGATCATATTATTTCCACATATCCAGTGCACTGACAGAGTAAGGCTTAGAATCTTTTATAAAACAAATATAATCCCTCTGGATCCTTTAGAAATAAGAAAATATCTTGTATCTTCAATTTATGAGAATATCCAATACTTTTTTCAGTAGAGCCATGGACCAAATTTTGCTATGACATTTCTCAGTTGATAAATTATCTAAATATTTCCAGTGATGAGTGATTTACAATTTATGTTAATTTATGCTAAATGTATTCTTATAATGTAAGCCCAAGTTTTCTCCATGATATATAGGCAATAAACATAATTTTGGTGAAACTTTGTTTAGTTATTTAGCAATTATCCTTTTCCAAAAATCTGACAGTTTTTCATATATCTACCAGCGCTGGAAGACTGTTCCCTTCTGTTTATAACCCTCCAACATTTTGTTGCATAATGATGATATAATTATGCAACTCTTACGGTGGTTAAAGGCTATCAGTGGAAAATCTTCCAATATAATTCCTGCAAAGAAGCTGTCAGAAATTTCCCAGAGTTCTACAGCACCTGTCATTCGTTATCCAGATGTTAATTTCTCAAAATTCTTTCAACCTTAGGAAAGGATTTCCTGTATCTGTTTCCTATAATTACATATACATTTTGGAGGTCATGTCTTTAGATTGAGAAGAGTAATTTAGTATCAATTTCTCAAAATTTGTTAATGGGCAGTTGTAAATTACGGCTATTTTCTTGTAACTACATACTGTAAGTATGACGTTATTTGAATCCATAAGAACCCCAATATTTTGTATCTTAATTGGAGTTCTACCTCTTGTTTATTCTACATTAACAGATTTTATAAAACTCTCTTACGTATATATTCACTTATTTTTCCACATTTTCCATTGGTTCTAGCCTATATTGATCATAAAAGCTGAGATATGCATCCTGTATGAGTACTGTATACTCTTCCTCTGGATCTGGATAATGTAGTAGTAATAGTTTATTGATTAGTCTTGCAACCTTATCAATAAAATAATAAAATAAAATAAAATGATGATAAATCATTGACTTAGAAATTAAAAAATACTGGGGTTGGAATACAACTCTGCCTGGGATAATAACATATAAATTCATTATTTATTTTACTATAAATAGATTTCCTCGATTCTTTTATATTTTCAATTTTCACCCACTATTTTGCTTCATATTTCAAAATGAAAGGGATTGTATTAACCTAGCTGTGCAGCTTGATAGTATTATTTTAGACTTTCCCCCTTAATTCTATTTTTTAAAAAGACAGCTGTGCTGATTTCTCCAATAAAAAGAGGTCAGAACACAAACACACTGTAAGGGCCTGTATAATTATTGGCTGAGAAGTCATGGCTGAATGATCATGTCATAATGATCTTCCTATTAAGATCAATTTTAGACTGCATATAACTTTCATTTTTAATAGACATTTCCATTAAACAAAACAAAAATGATCTATAACAGTTTTAATGAATTTGTTTTAAAAGGACTTAGTTCTCTTTAAGGGATAAGACAGAAAACCTAAAGATAAATTGCATCTTAATTGTTTTACCCAGGACATGAGTAATGGCTGATTTTGACAAGGGCTGATTATGCTATTTTGGGGAATACCTTTGTATTGATCATTTGGTTGCTCTATTTTTTCCCCTGAAAACAGATTTGCAACTTAATGACATGACATCCAAAGTACATAATCATTCTTGGCTGATCTTGCAAGCTGGACAAAGTCCACCCTAGATAGTACTTGAATGGAAAACTACCTCCTCAGTTATGAGCTAAAATATTAAAGTTAAAAAAGAGCCACACTGGGAAAAGTAGCAATCTAAGTTTGTAAGGCTGATATGAAAATTACATGGAAGTAGTTGCCAAGAATTGAATTCAAATAAAGTGTGTCTTTAGTATTCTGTAATTCCTCCATCATTATAGGCCATTATAATATCTAAATGTTCCCATGCATATTTCATAACGTCAGCATCTCTAATGGCAGAGCCATTTTAATGAAATCAGACCATAGAGAATCAGAGCTAAATGATATAATGGGTTTTGTTCTATGGAAAAACTGAGGATGTATTGTATAAGAGATACTATCTAATTAAAACTAGCTTGTGGCAAAATAGGAATTTTGATATCTTCCTTCTTGTAGCTATTCAACTGATCAAGGACCTTATGGCTTATGATGTGCGACCAGCTCTGCTAAAAGGCTTGGTTACGTTACTAAAGCCATCAAGGCAGGAGACAGCCAAGATGCAAGCAAGAATCCTGGAAGGTAATATGTTGAACAGTGCTGTTTGGATTTGTCTGTAAGGAAGATGTTTCCTACTTTCATACAGGTGGTCTTCAACTTACAACAGTTCATTTAGTGACCATTCAAAGTTATAACAGCACTGAAAAAGTGACTTACGACCATGGTCACATGATCAAAATTCAGATGCTTCGCAATTGTCTCATATTTATGATAGTTGAAGTGTCCCAGAGTCATGTGATCAGCTTTTGCAACCTTCTGACAAGCAAAATCAATGGGGAAGCCAGATTCACTTAACAACTGTGGCAAGAAAAGTCGTAAAATGGGGCAAAATTAACTTACATATTTCTCAGCAACATAAATTTGGGGCTCAATTGTAGTCGTAAGTCGAGGAGTACCTGCAATTATAACTTTATTTGCAATAATACAATTGTATTTATAAGTGCATGAGGAGAGGGGAAAATTTTGCTATCAGAGGAAGCAACATGAAATATATATTATCTAGCTAAATCCATGTCATCAGTTTATCTCAGATTCCAAATTTTCAGAAACTAAGCCTGGGTTCTGAGGCAGTAAATCCCATTATAAAACTTCACCATTGATTGTAGTTGCATATGTTGGGAATGGGATGACAGGACTGTGTTTTTCAAAGGAAAACATACATCAACATTGCTGAAAAGTCAAAAAATCAAAATCCCTACCTTTACTACTGAAATGAAAAATAGCTAGCCAAGTCAAATACTGCTGCTGCTGCTTGAAAGCTGGAGAATTTGGAAATGCTTTTCTTGGGAAATCTGATTAAGAACGTTCTATCTGGTTCCAACTCAAATCAAAAACAAAACTGTGAGAAAGCTATGAGATACTGTATTTGATTTGTATATTATATCATCTGTTCAGAAGCAGGCTCTTTGCGCCTGATGGAATCCTTGCCAGCATATGTACAGCAAGCTGCAGCAGCCAAAACCATTGGGTAAGCAATTTTTAGTTACTGGAACTAGCTCTCTAAACATTTAAAATAACTGCTCCGTGCAGCAGAAGAGGTACAAGGAACCACCAGGTCCAAGGGCAAACCAGAACAAGTACGATACAGGCACCCTTCAGATACTTCTTTAAAAAAAAGTTGTTTTGACAAACATTTTATATGCAGTCCTGCTTGGTATAATAGAGAAGACTATTATTCCTATAATACTTTATAATTAAGACTTTTATCACAATTACAAAGGAAAGGGAAAAGAAGCAAATACTATTTAATGGGATGGATATATTTAAATCTTTGCACCTTTTCATTTATAAGCTATTGTTATGGAGGAGAGAAACAGGTAATTCTGAAAGAGGGGATAATTAAATAATTGAAATAATTAGGATGTACTTTTTTAGAAATTATACCAATCCAAATTAATGAAAAGTCAAATAGTCATTTACCAAGATCAGAGTAATTGGAATATTATTGTATATGGACAGTTTTATTGAATATGGACAGTATTACTGAGTACTTATTATTTTGTCTGAAGCTCTGTTGGTATTCTGATCTTAATGTCCATATTGACATCTGATTTACATCACAATAAGGACAGTGATAACAACTACGTATTATTACAGTATTATTGTACAGAGACAGTATTACTGAGTATTTAGTTTGGAGCTTTATTGGTATTCTAAAGAAGGCATATTTAATTGTTTAGATCAGTGGTGGCGAACCTATGGCATGGGTGCCAGAGGTGGCACTTGGAGCCCTCTCTGTAGGCACACACACCGTCTCCCCAGCCCCGCCTCCTCCCACAGCCCCCTCCTCATCAGCAGCCCCCCCGGAGAGTTGCCCCTGGGCATGGCCCACGTGAAGCAGCGCAGCCAAGGACATGGTAGCTGGGCAGCGGGGACAAGACTCTGCCCTTGCGCCCCGTCACGCGCAGATGATGCTGCAGGGCATGGGCGGAGGGCGTGGCCACCATGGCGCTGCTGGGCTGCCTGGGTGATATGTGGCGGGCAGTGGAGGTGGTGGGTGGCCCAGTGGGCAGGGCAGAGCGGGGACGGGGGTGGGGGTGGTTTTGGGACACTCGGTCTCTAAAAAGTTCGCCATCACTGGTTTAGATTATCATCTTTGAAATGCAAAGTGGTTATTTAAATAAGTGATTTAGGTGTTATTAAATTATTTAAATTATGCAATGTAATACCTGTTTTATAGTAAAGTACACAACGTATGTCGGCTCAAGGGCCATATCACTCTTTACCCAGTATCCTGAATGCTGCATTCCCAAGTGGGGGAAGCAGTTTTTCTTTTTCTTTTAAAAATAATTGTATTACTTTTACAGATAAAGTGGTATAGCAAAATCAGGCACAATTGCAGCTTTTTACTTCATCAGAAAAGGAGGCAATGGCATTTAAAGTATGCTGTTGTTATTCCATCATCTTTTTTTTTTCAACTGGTTACAGTATTATTTTTGTTGCTGTTGTTGTTACAGGGAAAAGAGTAAATGGAATAGTACCAAAGAAAATCGGGTGTATTTATTTATTTTAGTGTTCTTTGAGATTTGTGTGGATTTAAAGGGCAAAATAGATTTTGTAAAAACCACAAGCAGCCCTTTGCTCTTTAATCACCCATTCAAAAAGAAAGAGAAAAACATTTCAGTCCCACTTGTTTTGAGGACAGCAAAAATGAGTGCTGGGATAGGCCACGTGTAGCCTGCGGTACTCAAACTATTACTTCATAAAAATTACTTCAGTGTTGAACTGAAACACCAGCCATGCATTCAGACCTTACCAAACCAGTCTAGGTTAATATTTTGGTTCTAAACTATTCAATATTCCCTTTGCAGAATTCTGGCCCAGGAGTCTAGGGAAGTGGCTGAGGAGCTGATCTTCTTGAATGTGGTACATGGCCTTATGTGTGCTATGGGCAACAAAGACCACACCAACGGTCAGAGACAAGCTAGCATCACATTAGAGGCAAGTACCATTTGGAACTAGGGGGCAACTAGGGGTAGTTTATTCCTGTCATTTCTGTAACTGAAATTAAGAGTTTGCATATACAGTTGGGATTATGGTAGTTGAACTCAATAGAAGCAGGATCAGACTGTGGCCGAAGTACAGGGAGGGAACATGTTGGTGTAGAAAAGGGATTGCTTCCATATTTAAGTAAAGCTGGCAGAATGATATTCCTATAGAGTTTTTATTTTAAAACTGCTACCGATAGTGAGTAAAGCTTCCCTCATCTCCCTCTACACTCTAGCACAAACACAGGAAGAAAAAAACAAAATACCAACTAAACCTGCCTAAGAATTCCTACATAGTGTTGTTTTAATTGAGCAAATAATTGGAAAGGGACATGTCACACAGTGATTTAGTACAAGTGAAGCATCTTAGGAGAGAAACATCTGCCACTACCTAGGATTGAACTCTCAACCCACTCAGAAAGGTGAGAGTTCAATCCTAGATAGTAACAGATTTTTTTTTGTTGCTAGGGCACAAAAAAAAAAGCTGCTGCAAACACTGCATGGTGTCAGGAAGGACATCCAGCCAGTAAATGCTCAGCTCCATCCAGTGACCCCAACTCTTCCCCAAAGTAAGGGATTACACTACAGCAGGGGTGTCAAATTTCATTGAGGGCCGCATCAGCATTGCAGTTGCCCTCGGGGGACCGGGTGGGTGTGGCCTACTGGGTGGGCGTGGATGGAGTGGGTGTGGCCTACTGGGTGGGCGTGGCCAGCTCTACATCATTCACGTCAAGGGTGCCTGTGGGGGCCTGGGCAGGAGTGGGACAGATCTGAGGGTCTCTGGCAGAAAGGGGTGGGACCAGGGCAGAGCCCATCAAGCCGGATATGTGAAGTAGGCGAGGGCCATTTGCTGGCCACTTCCAGGCGATGGTGCATTTCTTCATTCCTCATAAAGGGTGACACCTCCCCAGCATGCACCCAGGGGGCGGGGCCGACGCAGCAGGGGCTGGTTCCTCGCTGTTTCCAGATGGCCTTGTGGAGCTAAGACTGAATGCGTCTCAGCATAGATGGCCACCACAAAATTGTACATTGGCTCCCGGCCAGCCTGGGGCAGGTCCAAGGCAGCGGGGGCCGTTCCCTCACTGTTTCCAGGATGGCTTCGTGGGCCACATGAAACCACTTCGTGGGCCACATCCGGCCCCCGGGCCTTGTGTTTGACATGTCTGCACTACAGGGTCATAAAAAGAGGGTTTTTTAAAAACATTCTTCTCTTGGAGTAGTTGCTAGTGTTTCAAATGCTGCCACTGCCTGCCTACACAAGCACACTTAGCAGTAGACCCAACAAAAAGGGTTGCCAGAGGATATACTGTACATAATGATGCAGAAAACCAGTTAACTTTCCAGATGACGCTATTTTATCACTTCAGGCAGGGGGGTGCTTTGGAAAACACTTTGTAAATGTTTCAAATGTTTGCAAAATTGTGGTTTTTCTTATAGCTGGACTGTTTCCTTGTAGTATTTTGTACAGATATTTATAATGATTGAGAACTACGTACGGAGGGCTATGGGAGAAAAATTGTTCGAGCTATTCATGGTATGTATATATTGTCCTGTATATATTGTGCTTGCCTGATGGATTGTCAATTTTAAGCATCAAGTTTTTTATTTTAAGGGCAGAATTAAGGATTGAAATCAAAATATATTTTTAAAACATATTTCAATAGCTGTTGAGTACTCTATCTCACTGAGGGAGAACAGACTAAATAAATACCACAAAAAAGTCAGAATATCAGCATTTAATAAAATCCAGGTATTATATATAACTTTAAATTAATTACACCAATTTTTATGAAAATGTTTTTGTTGTTTATATTGGCATAGTGAAAATAGCTTAACATTCATTTGTAAAATTAATTGTACCATTAACAAATATAGTAATATTTAAAATGTACAATTTATTTATTTATTTATTTATATTTATTGGATTTTTACCCCGCCCTTCTCCTTGCGGACTCAGGGCGCAATGTAGAGAGGTATACATTTAGAGAAATTTAACTGACAATATTGAAAACGACATATCGTTAAAACAAAAAAATGATTTTTTTCCCCTAACTTTATATTCCCATCTTTCCAAATGAGACTAAATGTAAACATTATTCTCCTCTCCCTGCTAGGTATTTTTAAATAGTCCCTAAATCTGTTCAATTTTGATTTTGTTTTGCATGATTGCCCCACAGCAGTAGTGGTTCCTAGATTTAAAGAAAGGTAAGAACCTGGCAAGGCATAAACCAGTGCTGCTTAGCCATGACTATTGGATAAACACAACACAGGGGTAGTTCAGTCTTAAGGCTAGGAAAAAATGGCCAAAAGTCCCTTGACCAAAATTGGGTGGAAGAAGCTTAAAACACTGGGACAGAGAGACAGGCAGAAATATAGTGGTTTCTGTTGTTTGCCTTAGGCAGATCTCCTGACTATATGACTTTATTGTCCATTTGTTTGTAATGTCATTATTTTCTGACATGTCCCTGCTCCAATATTCTTTCGTCAGTTTTGCAATTCTGACTTGCTCATGAATGAATTTTCTCTTGTTCAGAGAATTCTTGCCATGCAGCTTCGTTAACCATATTAGCAGAGGCTATGTTTTGCAATTTTGATACACACTGTATTATAATTGAATTTGTTTACCTGGTATATTTTCCTTTTCAAAAGTCTTTAGAATCTTCTCCATTTCAAAATAATTCAATAATGGAGATCAAATTAGACCCATAATGGCCTGGTCTTTATTCGTATTAATAGCACTTTCAAAGGGAACTGACTGCTTAAAAGGAAAAAGGACACATCTGTAAGCCTATAGACCATAATGCCGTTGCATAATTGTGCCGTATTAAGTAAGCCTTGTCATTTTATAATAATTTCCAAACAAAACTCCCTATAGAAATGTTCAGAACCCAGAGACAAGACCTTCTGGATTATTACCAATTATGCATGAATAGAACACCCAGATTGAGATCAAAGGGCAAATTAATTATTTAGAGAAGATTACTGAAATCTGCCATTGCCAAGACCAAGTGTGGAAATCTTTTGCCCCTCAGATTTAAGGAAATTGTAGTTCCCAGCAACCATAAAGATAAATTTAATTGGACTTAAAACAAAGGCTAGTAATGATTGCAGAATTGGCTAAGCAATTTACATTACTTCATTCCTCAGTATTCTTCTAGTGTGTGGAATATAATTGAAAGGTGACAAGTGACTGAGTGGGCACATGAAAAACAGATTTTTTTCCTACTTCATTAGTCACAGTTGGCATATCCAATGTGATCAAAAGACTGAGGCCATCAAAACCCCAATTTAAGGACCAGGACATTAATCTGATTCACATATGCATGTTCATGTCTAATTAAACTGCAGCATAATAATTACAGTAAGACCTATGTTAACTTTCCATTGAAAATGTTTCATATGCTTGCCCATGCATCAAAGTGAAATCAATTGATGCACTTGTATGAACTTGCCCTTTGTTTTCAGCAATTTGTGCTATAAACAATCATTATGGGATTCAAATTAGGAAGATGTGTAAAGAGAATTTAGTTTGAATGGTTTTGAGACAGGCAAACACAAGAGTCATTTGTGATCTACATGTTCTCAAATTAAAATTACGAACATTTTTCTTTCTGCAGCAAGATGCTGCAAATTTGTACTTGAATATGGATGCTGTACAGGCTGATATACTGGCTACCAATATAGTCAATATTCCAGCAGATTGTTTGGCTAAAGGAAAAACGCTTTTAACAGGTATGTTTTTTGCAGTCATGGGCAAAATCTACAGTAAGAAACATATATACAGAATTGTATATACAATTTACAGAATTGTAAATTCTCCTTTGGTGCAGAATCAGAAAAGCATTTAACACATACAGCTAAATTCAGAAACTGTTTAAATTAGTCAAGCAATAAAAGCATAAAAAGCAGTATTTTTATATATGCTTTTGTGTGTGTGTTTGTGTATATAAAACCTATGGAAGGAAATACCAGCCGACAACCTAAAATGGTTGTCGTATCACTGTTGTAACTTTATTGCAAAATAAACTGGTCCGTAGTCATTTGATTAATTTTTGCAGCACAAATCTTTGTGATTTGAGCTGAAAGGTGTTCATGTGTGTACATAGGTATGCATATACATACATGCTTAAAATTAGTCCAATGCTTCAGTAATAGATTCAAGACTAAATTGTTTTTCTTGGACTGAAATTGTTTTTCTCACCAACCTAGAGACAGAATTGAGCCCTGAAGAGGAGGAAGGGCAGTCTGAAGACAGTGAAGTACTTTCTGAGCCACTTGCTTAATTTCATTCAAGTATTAGGTTTATTGTTGATTTTAATCTTTTCTCCATTTTTCTGCACCCTTTGCACAAAGTACCTTTTTCAAAATCTTTTCATGCATCCCTATGAAGAAAGGATGGAGGACTATGTAACTGCAGTGCAAACTATGTGGCATTTGAGACATTGGGACAGGTGATTCCTATTTTCATTGACTAGATAATTACTTGACTAGTTTTCTCATCTGTTGCGGTACAGATTGTACTAAACTATTGTTCCCATAATCTCACAACAGTGGTTCAATACCACTGGAAGGCATAAAGCTCAGGAAAATGTAAGGAACAAAAATGGCTCTTACCATTGGATAATTTTTGGCCAATTTCATAGTCCAACCCTGATTCGTATCATTATGAATTATATATTAATGTGAAACAGCTCCTTGTACAACTAACCTAGACTCTAAAAGAGGAAAAGGAAAATCTGTGTTAAATAAAATTGCATTGAATTGTTGCATTTAATCTATACTTCAAAGTTATACTTACCTTTAAACTAATTTATTTGCTTACTTACATGAATACATACTTTCTGCTACATTCTTTTATAGCCTGTATGACCAAGAACATAATATTTCCAATTATGCATACATGTGTTTGCTAAAAGACCAACCTTAAAGCACAGCAGGTAGAGTTATCTGTTGATTAAATGTTTTGAATTACAATTTTCATTATTCCAGCTGGAATGAGACTGTAGTAGTTACAATTCAACAACTGGAATAGAGCTGTCTACTCTGAAAGTAGTTTTGCCTCAAATAAATTCATAAAGATCATTTATTTGGTCTGAAAATAATTGAAAACATGACTCATCTTTTCTAATAGCATTCATTATTAAATATATATTTATTTATTATTCAGTAGCAAACAAGGTTTTTAGAAAATAAAAATGTTGTTTAATAAAAGTTTTTATCTTACAACCTTTGATTTTAGGTGTAACTGCACATACTCAGGGCTATCCATTTCCAGAAATTTATATTTAGAGCAAAGATTGATATTCATGCTAAGTGATCTATCCATTACAATGTTCAGAGCATGTATCTTAACTTTATCTCAGTTGTTTCCAATCCCCAAGACTGTTAAATTGCATTTTTATTATCTTGTGAATCTTTCAGTTCTGAGCTTAATTATGGCTGTTGACTGCTTTTTAATTTTTTTTAGTCAATAACCCTATCTTTATGTGTGCTTATAGCAATCATTATTGGAAAATAACTATCTGAAAGGAACAGCAAAATTTGCTTACCGGTATTTAAAAAGAAATGTGCCATCCAGTAGCACAACTCCTACCATGAATACTCATCCAATTGGATTCTTCACTCAATGAAAAGGTCAGAACAAACTAGAGACCTACAGAAAATGCCATAGTGTTTTTGCAAGGCAGAAGTTAATGAATTCAGAAACATTTATTTAAACAGCTTCACTCGCTTTTTCCATCTTAAGAACAACAAACCCGGTTTAAGATTCACTGTTTTGCGCTCAGTGGTAACAGATAAAAATATTTAGTCAAAAATTCTATATACACAAGAAATATGCACATGCTTAACATGTAACACTAACGAGCCTCCCTTGTGCAGCTTTCAGTACTGTAAAAGAGAGAAAAAAAAGTCCTAGAAATTTCTGGCCGAGAGCTGTCCCTTTCCTGCATCAGGTTTAAAAGACCCACTCCAAAGCAGATAGGCTGGATTATCTGTTTGCTTTTAAAATGCATTAATTGCCAACCAAATAAGTGACAGACAAATAGTGAGGGGCAAAGGTTCATTTAACAGATGGGCAGTTATTGAAGGCGACGTTGATTCAGGTGCTTGCTGGCTTGTTCTTCCATTTGCATGGCTAGCGTTAGTTCATCTAGAGTCTCTGTGGAAAGTGAAAAAGAAGAAAAAAGGCAAGTTCAACGTGAGTGAAGTCCAGATTGTAAGAGAATTCAGAAAAAGTGTTTTCCTTTCTATATTGAAAGGAAATAACCGCGCATGAGGCCCACATGAAGTTTCATTAAATAGAAACATTAACTGGACTAGGACAAATGGAAATGAGAATGTTGGTTTTCCCTATACATCTGAAATAGAGAGCACCTCTGTGCTAGAATGACTCTCACAGGTGCTGCAGCATGAGGTTTCTTTCATTAGTTTACATCCTAGCACTATAACTATAAGTAGATGGCAAAAGGAGAAGGGAACAGCAGTGGATGACATAGCGTCATTGACTCAGTGGGCATGGGTTTGGGTGGACTCTGGGAGACAATGGGGGGCTGGCATGTTGTGGTCCATGGGGTCCCAAATAATCGGTCATGACTTGGTGTCTAAACAACAACAAATTATTCTATAGAGTTTAGAATGCAATTTGCAAAATGTAATAATAAAGCTTAATTAATAATTCAAGATGAATACAAATGCAGCCTTTGTACCTTTCAGATTGAGAAAGCTTTTGGATCCTTCATTTATGAAGCATTGGGTTTGGTACACAAAGGCCTCTAGGTCATATTCTGGTTGTTCCGCAATGTCCAGGAGATAGTTACAGTCATTCATTTTCTGAATACAGAATATATAAGAAAATTGGGATGGCTTTGTGAGATAAAACACATTTACTGAATTGACAAAAATCAATGAAAATATCTGCCAAATTAGCAAGAATATGTGAAGTTTTTTTGTTAATAAGCATCATTCCACAGACACAAGCATAATTTTATTATCTATAGCATAATACCTCAAAAATATTAGTCACTTTAGAAAACAGGATCCTATTAAGTTCTGAATATTCAAATATACCTCCCTGATTTCCTTAAGTTCTTCTATTGCTTTCTCTTCAAGTTCACTAATCCGGGTGAGAGCATCACGAAAACTGGACAGATGAGGAGACAGCTCATCTTCAGAAAGCTGCTATTCAAAAGCAAAAATATTAGCACAATTGCACCTGTTTTGCTAAATAAATTGGTCTTAAGCTAGGCATATACATACTTCAAGAATATGGTCTGATTCTTCTCTGCTAATCTCAAACTCTTCATTCTCAGTTTCCATACAGTTTTGTGCCTCACCAGCTGTTCCATTGCTGGGAAGTTCCTTCACTCTGGAAACAGAGCAGAGGGATTTCAATACAAGTCCAGCTGTTGAAATAAAGAACTCAGACAGCCTAATACATAACACAGATAAAGAAGCACAGGAATAGTACTTCAACTTGTTTCATATGAACAAACATCCTGCACTCATTTCTTCAAGTAGGGCAACATGGACTGAGCAGAATGGAAAATTTCTATCTGATGCAGGGAGTAACTGGATTAGGCTTTCCTTTCCTTGTAAATTTGACTACAAACGGTCCTGATAATCAGTTTTTTTCTTCTTCTGCTGATACAGCAAATACTTCCTGAGATTAAGTTGTTACTGAGACATGTCTAAATTGAAGAGGTTTTTTTTGACATTTTGATAGATTGCTTTTTGAGCAAGGAAAAAAAATAACCAATTTCTTTGTATCAGAAATTCTGGGCAAAATTTGCCATTTCTAATGAAGTTCTCCTACCTGAACCAATTTAGAAATGGCAATCTTAAAAAAAAAAGAACATAAATCTCTTTTCCCATTTTGTCCCCAAGATATGGTAAGATTTGCAAGTTCAGATATCACTCACCTATCAGCATATCGCAAGGTATTTAGAGTATATTCGCAGGAACTCATGCCTGGGGAAATCATTGCAATCTAAAAGGAAACAAAATTTTTGCCAGCTTGCGCTCAGCTCTCACCTTCTGCTAATCTACCTGCTTGAACTGACACCTCTGCTATCTTGTCCTTATTTATAATGAAGCATTTAAACTTTTGTAGAATTTCTTTTTCAGAATAATTACTCAGAATTTAGGGTCCCACAAACTTATAACTTTTCCAATCAAATATGCCCAGACCAACATCATTTAAAAATCTTTTTACAAACGTGTAGATTGGTACCTTCAGTTTGATGAAACAACACAATAGTTCTTCTTGTGTTAAGATCATAAGACCTCCTACCCAAGTTTTTTTTTAAAGATTTTCATCTCGCCTTTATTATTTTTAAAAGTAACTCAAACTGGCGAAGCGAACATACCTAGTACTCATTCCTCCTCCCAAATTCCCCACAAAAACAACCTGTGGGATGAATTGGACTGAAAGACTTACCATGCAGGTTCTGGAATTTGTTCCAATGAAAGAATCCCTCAGCACCTGAGTAAGTTTACTTTCCCGAAAAGGTGTATGTTGTTTATTTTGACCTAAAGCACGGATACATTCCTAAAAGGTGGGAAAAGGAGCAAGGATAATAATTTGCCCATGTGTTCAGAGCCATAAACAATCAGTAGCAAAGAAAGATTGTAGGCCTGACATTATCTAGGCAACAGGGCAATAGGACTTTTGCTCTTTATTGAGGCCAATCATACACTAACAATGCTATTATGTTCTAGTCTGTACCTTTAGTGCCAGCAAGCTTTTGTTTATTTCTGCTGCTTCCATCCGTGTCTGACGATCAGCACTAGATGTATCAGCACCTCTCTCGTTGCCAGCTAAATCCACCAAGGAGAACTTGCCATGAAGCTTTCCTTTTCTGCGCAGAATAATTTGAAAGCAAGCATGCGATCGAGAGGAACTGGAATTGGCAAATGTATGTCCAGATGTCCTATAATGACAATAGAATTACCAATGACATGATACATCAGTAGAAGACAGTATGTTTTGGTTAGTCTTACCAATCAAAAAATTATTGTCACCATCACTATGCTGTGGTATAGCGAACCAGATGCAGTGGCCAAACAGCAGTCAGAGAGGCAGAGGGCAAGGGATACAGAATTTAATTGCCTTTCAGTTTTCACTTTTAAAGTTGGAAGGTCCTCACTGGTCAAAGGAAGAGACGTACAGTCCTCCATTTCTGTGCCTGATAGGCATTCAGAGCATCTACCAGGCATTAAGAAAATACCTATTCTCCTTACTTTGAACTCAAAGGGACAGAAAGCCACAATGGCTTGTCTCCATCACTGTTCTAAGATAATTCACTGAAGCATAGCTTCTTTCTCACAGCTTCCCTTATACTCTCTGATAAAAAATATGCATTGTGTCCTGCATGCTTCATCTTTCTTCCCATAACTTGGGCCCAACACATTTCAATTAGTGTTCCCATTTCCAAATTTAAGTATTAAAATGTTAGCATATCATGAAGGTCACTAATCTTTGTAATGACTACAAAAGACACTTTGCTATTCAAAGTGACACTTTTGTAACTTAAATGATAAAATGCCTTCTCTTGATTATCTCCCTTAATTTCCCTCTAATTCTTTTCATCTTTCTTTCAGAATTATTTTTTCTAATAACCAAAATATTATTGGATATTTAAAAATGTATAAAAACAACTAAAAGTTTCTTTTCATTCTGTAATCAAATGTCTGTGCTACAGGATATCTTAGCATTTAGATCCTGAGAGTTAAGCCAAACCCAGTCTCTACAATTACGAAGAGCAACAATAGCAATAGCACTTAGACTTATATACCACTGCATAATGCTTTACAGGCCTCTCTAAGAGGTTTACAGAGTCAGCATGTTGCCCCCAACAATCTGGGTCCTCATTTTACCGTCCTCGGAAGGATGGAAGGCTGAATCAACTTTGAGCCGGTTGAGGATCAAACTCCTGACAATCAGCAGCATTAGCCTGCAATATTGCTTTCTTACCACTGTGCCACCACGGCTCTTACATAACACTCCCTTCTCCTCAATAGACCTGGGCATGTTAAGAGAACAGTAAACATGTTAAGCTAAAACGTGGCCCCAAAACAACTAACCTGCAGGCACTTCC